CCGTGAATAAGAACGAAGTAGACTTTCTGTGAGATGAGAGGACTAAATCCAATTTTGCCCGACTCCCCTTGTGCACTGTGAGGTATGTGGGGTTGCCCTTTGTAATTGGTGGTCCCAGGGGTGGCTGTGCATGAGCTTCAACTTCTTTGGACTTTCCACAGATCATACATGATATATAGCACAATGACCAAGAGTGCTCAGGTAGGAAAAATTTCCCCAACTGGCTAGTTTGGCTCAAATATTTCATTTAAACACATCAGATGATTGAGATGAAAATAGGAGGGGGTCAGCATCATCTGAATAACCACCCCAGTTTTCTGTGCTTTCATATAGGCAGTCTGGTTAATGCAAAAGAGTTTGAAGCACTTGGTAAGAATAATTGCGACTTTTCATTGGCCTAAAGCATCATCATCATCATCAAGGATTCAGGTATTAGGTTAAGAGCCTCCAGTGTTGTCTGGTTGATTCACATGTGACCTCTTCGCACTTGCCGTCATGAGCCCAGTGTGGGAACAGGCCCAAACGAAATAACTTGCAGCAGAATTAGCTGAGATCTGAACCCCCTTCGCCCTGACGTCATCTTCGTTATTAATCACTATCTCTGACTGCATCTTTTCTGACATGGCCTTTTCAATACATGGCCTTGTGTGTCAATCATATTGAGCACACACATGTAAGTTGATTCATTACAAATAAATGTGTTGTTACATGTGATTGAGTATATTATCTATTTCTACATAGTGCCTCTGGGTATCGAACAATGAATGCTATCCTACTGTATGAATCATATTTTTATCTCTAAATATAAAAAAGATGTTTTGAACACCTTGGGCCCTTACAGACACCAGAGAGGGATTGCTTCGCCCAGGATGAACTAATTCCCAGAGAGAGCAAAAATTTGTACAAAGACTTACCTTTGAGATGCAAGAGTACCAACCCAGAGCACTTGTGAAGCGTGGTCAGGAGACAGGAGAAGTAAGAGCAATAGCAAGAATCAGAATCTTCACTTTTTGTAGAAAAGAATGGACAAGACAGAGAAGACAAGTTGAACAAGGTTAAGATCAACACCTCCTTTATAAAACTCTCAGACACCAATTCAGTGTTCTCTTTTCAAGTCTCCCCAAGGTGTGAGTCCGAGACTAGGGCCCAGCCCTCCAGCCACAGTCTGTTAGAATGATCTGATCTTAACCTTGTTCAACTTGTCTTCTCTGTCTTGTCCATTCTTTTCTACAAAAAGTGAAGATTCTGATTCTTGCTATTGCTCTTACTTCTCCTGTCTCCTGACCACGCTTCACAAGTGCTTCACAAGTGGCCTCACAGGGAGGGAGGTGCTTCCTCATTTAGGGAATTTTCAGTAATAAAGTCTTCTTCCAAGGCAGAGGAGTCCATGTCTGTTATCTGGTTATGTTAGAATGAAACAAAGCCCAGATATAGTTTTAAAGACTTGCATTTCCAAACAGCCTGACCTTTGAGATCCTAGGTCAAATGTTATGATAATGGGAGAGCTTCTCCCTGCCAGTCAACCCTCTTCTCTCCTCTGTTGAGTCTCAGTTTCTAAACTTGTTTAATGGGAATGATTATAATATTACAATGCTGCATCAAATACTACACCAAGCCAATCTTGTTCTTCACTCACCTCCACTTCTCTTAACACACACACACACACACACACTTATGTGAGCTTATGCTGCTTTGGGAGAAGTTTTAGCTTTACCAGCACAAATTTAGTAAATTAGTTTCTGTATAGAAAAATAAATCATTTTTCAGAAAATTTCTTGCTAAAAATATATAAGTACCGGTATTTTGGCAGTTTTAACCTGAGGTTGGGTGCAGTTAGTGAAATATCTTCAGTAGCTTCTTTAACAGTGAGTAATATAAAGATGTAAAATCTTCATATTTATTTCCTTAAGCCAATAATCTTCCATGATGAAATGATTTGTTATTTCTGAAGTGCTTAGGATTTACATATCTTAGAGGTCTTATTCAGTTGGGCTAAAAAAAATTAATTCAAAGAGAATACCTCTGGAATTTTATACTATCTTGTCTATTTTAGATTCAGTGAGTGTGAGGAAGAGTTGGAATTTTCTAGCTTTCTGCACTGTACACATGGTGTTACAAATAAGAGACATAGATTGTGAATGATAATGTGTGGTTATATTTTTATTTTGCTAATTGCTTGGAATATTTCTAGCTTTACAGTAAAAAATTTTATTTGAAGTTTTCAGGCTTAAAGTGACATCTTTGCAGCCTCCACTCTTATTTCTAAAATGTGATGAGTTTACTCCTCATTTTGGTTATATAAATATACTTTGTTAAAATGTAGTTATTGTCATTTATAGTATATGAAATGCTTTACATTAGTATTATGAAACATGGTATTAGATATTATATGGAACTATGAAATAGTATTATAAGTCTTAACTCACCTTAGCATTTTCCTGATAAATTTGACATTTTTTTTTAAGAACTTGTCATGATTTTCAGTTTACTCATATGAAAAACTATTATATTCAAACTTCAAATATATTTCAGTTAATTCAGAGTTCAATACTTTTGCACAATTGATGCACATTATATTTCTCTTCAATTTTTCTATTTTCATATTTAAGAATAATCTGATGACTCTACCTTTTTTTTTCTTTATGGTATTCAAATCATATTTCATGAGACTCAAGATATCATTTCTTACATCACACACCCAAGGCCAAGTCAATCCCCTTTCTGGGTTCTTTTCCAGAAGTTCCCATTTTTGATGCATAATTGTGGTTTTCTCTCATTGTTTTTAAATTTACTTGGTGTAAGTTCAGGGATGTCACTCACACCCAAAATGTATACTCAGATTTTACTTCAGAGAAGGAGTCTTTACTGGTCTCTCTCTCTCTCTCTCTCTATATATATATATATTATATATAATACCATATATATATTAATATATATAATACTATATATAATACATAAGTGTATATAAATATTATTTATTTTATTATTATATATTATAATATTATATACATACACACACATACATACATACATACATACATACATATATATATATATAAAACAAAAATAAAGATTATTGGAGTCATTTCCCCAGAATTGGGGTCAAGTTAATGGGGCTGTATCTAAGGAAAGAAGAAATTGCGCAAAAATGATGGAAGTGCTCAGAATGATCTCTTCTCACCTAGCTGTTTTCATTGCCAACACGTTCATTTCATTCAACCTGTTTTCATTGCTCATTTCATTTCTCAAAATTTTCTCAGGACAAAGTAAGTGAAATTTGCATTGCTGATTTTCTGAGATGGAAGCATTCTTTCTTACTAAATGGCTACTCCAGCCCACTGGAAAGGGGGTGCGGAGGTTTTTCTTTGTAAAAACCACCAATGATAAAGTTTTTATAATGGGAAAAGTAGGAGAGAAGCAGAAAATTACCAGGACAGGTTAATTGCTGACATAAATGAACAAAAACTCGACACTGTCCAAGCTACATTCTGGGACTGAATTTGTCCTATTAGATTTTTAGTTCCCTTTCACTTCTTAGTTCAACAGTTGACCCAACGAAGGATCACTTTGATCCTCAAGGGCAACACTGATCATCTAGGAGCTCTCGGTACTGAATACTAAAGTCTAAGTTCCCTGTAGATGGAATGAGATCGGAGTACAAAAATACCATTGCCAAATTTTCCTCTTCTAAGCATTAAACATGCTTTTAAATTTCCCTAAAAAAGCATTTATAAATATCTAAGTGTTAAAGTGAAAAGAGAGAAGAGACAAATGCAAACAATATAATTTGTTACCTGGTTATTTTGAGTAAGATTTAGTATGAGAATGATGTAACTTTGTTAGATACATCATACAAATATAGATGAATTCTATTTGTAAAAGAAAAGCAGAATAAAAGAAGAAATCTGATCTGAAAATAAAATCAAATGACGTGCCTCCTCTTGCTAAATTACACATATTATATTTGTATTTCAGGAAACATGTTTTCATAATATCATTGTAAGTGAGTTTATTTTTTATTTTATTTTTTAGAGTTTTATTTATTTATGCATACAAAAAAATGTGGTAGAGGCCAGAGGTGCTGGGGGAGAGGGGTGAGTGGGCTCACAGGGG